TGGAGCAGCACTGGGATCGGTCGGGTGGATGTGAGCTGTCTTCGTTTCGCCAGACGACTGAAAAGCTGATTCTGTAGCGGGCTTCTTGGCTCGCAACAAATCACTCGGGTCTGCAGTCTTCTGGTATTCCTGCAGCTCCACCACTGCCATATGAGCATCAGTGATCTTTGAACCTTTTTGAAAACATTCTTCCGCTTTCTTCCGATTGCCCGTAATAGTGACCACACCTTTGGGGCCAGGCATCTTCAGTTTGAGATACACATAACATGGTCGGGCCATGAAGCGTGCATAAGCCGGCCTGCCCAAAATAGCATGATAGGCACTCTGGAAGTCTACAACTTCAAACGTCAAATTTTCTTTGCGGTAATTCTTGGAATCACCGAAAACCACATCAAGAGCAATCTGGCCGAGTGATTCAGCCTTCTTCCCAGGAATGACTCCATGGCAACTCATATTGCTGGTACTAAGTCTGGACATCGGAATGCCCATCCCTTTCAACGTCTCAGCATATAATATGTTCAAACCACTGCCACCATCCATCAAGACTTTGGTCAGTCGATTGCCTTCAACAACTGGGTCGACCACCAAAGCTTGCCTCCCAGGGGTGGCGATGTGCGTTGGGTGATCGGACCGGTCGAATGTTATGGCAGTCTGAGACCACTTCAGATAACTGGGTGTCGCTGGAGCAACCATATTCACCTCTCGGTTGATAACTTTCAGTCAACTTTTGCTTTCAACATCAGCAAAAATCATCAGGGTGGAATTGACCTGGGGGTATCCATCGTCACTATCTTCCTTGTCCTTAACTTTGTCCGACTCCTTTTCCTTATCCTTGGGCTGCTTGCCCTGGAACTGCTAGATCAAGAGTCGGCACTGTCGAGTGGTATGTTTCGGGTAAATGAAATTACCCTCTTCATCTTTCTTGGTGTGGACGAGACATGGCAAATCCAACACATCATTTCCGTCCTGGTCTTTAACTTTCTTGGGGTTCCAAGGTCCTTTGGGTTTCCCTTTAAACTTTCCTTGGGTTACAAGCCAAGGCTTCCCCAGGAGCAGCTGGCTTGGCTTTCCGCTTCTGTTTCCGATTGGAATTTCCTCCGGTTTCTTGAGCGACTGACTTGAGCTTGCCACTCCTGAGTCGATCTTCATCTTCACCATTAGCGTACTTGGTGGCAATCTCCATCATCCGATTCAGAGACATATCTCCGGTCCGACCGAATTTCAAATTCAGTTCTGTGTACTTCACGCCTTCTTTGAAGGCACAGACTGCTTGGTGGTCAGGCACATTCTCTACCGTGTGATGTAACATGATCCATCTCTGGATGTAATCCCTCAAAGTTTCATTCGGCTTCTGCACGCAAGACCTTAGTTCAGTCAGCCCTGCTGGTCGCTTGCATGTTCCTTCAAATGTGGTGACAAACACTCGGGCGAGATCTTCCCAAGTGTAAATGCTGTTGGGGGCTAACTGGTTCAGCCACGCTCTGGCCGAGCCCTCCAACATGAGAGGAAGGTGCTTCATGGCCACTTTATCATTGCCGCTGCCAATCTGGACGGCCACTCGGTAGTCTTCAAGCCAAGTATCGGGCTTGGACTCACCAGTGAACTTACTGACTCCAGTCGCCAACCTAAAGTTGGGAGGAATCACAGCGGCCCTGATGTCTTTACTAAAGCACTCTGGCCCCGAAACATGTGCTCTGCTACTGGTAGGTGCATCTCTGTCGTGACCTTCTCGGTGAGCTTTGTTCCTGTCGACCAAACCTTGAATGAGAATGGATCTCGCATCAAAGCCTGGCTCCTTGGAGTCGATTGGAATCCTTCGCCCAACACTACGAGGGCGCCTGTCATCCTGTTGTCGAGGCGCATACGACCCGCTCCTCGGGGGAGGGGTGGGCACTCGACGTCGATCATCACGATCGAAATGGTGATAATATTGCTCATGGTTCCCGTACTGATTACGCCGGTCCCCACGTCCCTCACGCCTCGGGGGTGATCTTGGGCTATGAGCCGACTAGATTGTGTCTGCAGCAACGGATCTGCTATGAATCCTGTTCCGCGACTGAGAGACAGCGGACTTCTGGTCTCCTGCTGCCCAGAGTAACGCTCTGATCTGCAGCAAGCCTCTGCCAGCCTCCGACTGGGAAGGCTGAATCGGTTCTGCTATACGGGCTGCAGCTGCTAAATTCTGAATCGGAGTTCGATATACATGCGGGGGCGGAAAGAGCTGACGCCGACTGGATTCTGGAACCCGTTGTCGCGCACGCTCGTCGAGTGCTCGCTGGAGGTTCTCCAGTCGAGTGCGCTCGGCCAAGTTTGCCAGGCGCGCGTCCTCCAAGGCACGAGCCTCGGGGGTTTCTCCACCGATAGGAGTGTGCAGTGCATCCATGTTCCGGCGACGAAGTTCTTCTCTCTGCAGCGATGTGAGAGGCTCGGGGAGATATTCCTCATGGGGACGCGACGGGTCGCCTCCACCTGCGCCTCCGTCAGTGCGGGGAAAACCGGGAGGACTGGGCGGTCCATCGACCATCAGAACCTCCGCCGCCAGATCGCTGCTGTCGCACTCGGATGCGGTCTCTGCGGAGCCAGTCGACAGATCGAACAGGCCGTAGAGGGATTCATCGGGCTCGATCGCCACGACTTGAGGGGTGGCTGACTGGCGTGCCACAGCGTGTCTCACCCACCGCTGAAGTCTCGACCGACCGGAGCGCTTGTGCCGGCGGGAAATAGGGAGGGAGGACAACACAGGAGCCGACCGGTAGGGGGTCGACGGTTGCCGCAAAAGGATGCCACGGACGCACGCGCAAAAGTGCGTCGCCCCGCGGACAGGGAGCGCGTCCGCGTCGAGCGGAGCCTCCTGAAGCCAAGCGGAGTCGTCGGCGATGAACGTGAGCGCGCTGAGACGGATCTCGCGGCCCTCCACCAAAACTCCGCCGGAAACCATGATGATTCAGATCAGAAAAGATCGCAACTCCTCCAACAAATCGCTAAAACACCTGCCCCACGGTGGACGCCAACTGTCGTGGTTCTAAGTCTGACAGTAATGTAGGGGGGTAAGTATGGAGAGGCAAGATCTTAGCTATGGAGAAGTTGTAAGCACACGAGGTTTACGAGTTCAGGCCCTTCTCGGAGGAAGTAATATTCCTACGTCTCGGAGCCCGGAGGCGGTCGACTGGATTATGCGTGTATGGTTTACAGGGGTGCAAACCCTTTACACTGAGGAGGGGGGTGGCTTATATAGAGTTCGCCGGACCCCTCTGGCCCTCAGTTATGAGGGTTTTAAATACATTGAGGTCGGGCGTTACTGGTAACGCCCTTAATAAAGTGCTATGATGATCATAAAAGCTACTTAATAACCGACCGTTAGCGTGCGGAGTGCCTTTAGGTCTCCTGGCCGTCGAGTGGTTTGGTCTTGGTCGAGTGATCGCTTCTTGGTCGAGTGTCTACGAGTCTGTCGAGTGGAACACTTCCAAGTCGATTGAAAGGTGATTTCTTCTAGAGATGTCCTTGGGTAGGGCAGTTTGGACAGGTCCATGACCCTACCCTAGGTACATAGCTTCATCAGGGGGGCACATGTAAGTGTGTGTGAAAGAGGGGGGGGTGAGAGAAAGAGTTTATTCTTTTAGAATGGGCCCGCATGTAAGTGACACATAGAGGCGGGGGCAAAATGTCCGGGAAACGTCCGTAGACGGTCAAAGGCCTTTGACCTAACGAAAACGACACCGAAGGGCATTTCTGTAAGATTACCTAACGGCAGAGGGGCAAATATGAGCAGGCTTCGAAATTAGAGGCAAATCTGAATAGGTGGTTTGAGTTAGGGACAGTATTGCAAATGGCCCTTTTAGTTAAAAATTGTCCAAAATGTAATGAATTTTCTCCGCTTTATATGAAATCATACGCGTTAGCATGAATTTCGTCCAATTAGTTCAAATAATGGTTGAAATGTATATATACAACATTGGATGGTGGCCTCCGCTATCAGTTTCCGTGAACTGGTCCCCTAGTCGGCGGACAGATACCGGAGCAAATTTGCGGGTCAGTGTTGAAGATACCCTGAGTAGAGATTTGTAAAGAGATAAAAACCAGTGGGAGGGGTGATGGGAGGTGAGACAAAAAAACCGGATAAAAATAAACCGGAATACCAGACTATCAACTCTCTCTTTAGGACTAGAGATTGCTACTCACACATTATCTAGACTTCTGCATCCATTCCGTTCTTCCAAGTCGCCGGTTCGACCCACGCCGCCAACAAAATGTTGCCATTCAACCGGTGCATCTAACAAATAACAAAAAAATTGTGTGCACTCAAAGCATAACCTTTGACCTCTAGGGGAGCAGCGCACCAATTTACCACTGCACCTTTGCTTGTGGTGTGATGTTACATAGATATGTCAAGCCATTTAACAATGGAGTGTTTGGATTCAACATTTTCAGAAAAACACATATTTTCCCTTGGTAACTATATTTACTATGGGGGATTGAGAAGCGCAGTTACTCGAAGGTAACCGAATTTACCAAGTAGTGACCAAAACCTTGGATGAACTTCCATACAAAAAGTGAATTTCCCGACAAAAATGAACCTCTCAACTAAGAAATGAACAAAAGAAGAGTTCACCTCTTTTTTTACTAAAGGTTATAAATGTGTATTTGATGGGTTTTGTCCATTATATTGATGCAGGCATTGAGAGATCAATAAAGAGTGTCCTTAAAAAATATCACCTATGGTAGATGTGTTAGGGAGTACACTAGAACAAATATTTTGACCATTATTGATGATAACCTTTGTCATAGATAATATCTACAATTATTCCACAAGTAAGACATTATGAAAGATATTTTGCCACACAAAACTACAAGGTGGGTAGGGTTTATTATAAAACACCACATGTTATTTTTCTTAAATGTGTACATTGAACTGTACTTTATAGAAATACAGATTATGATTACATAAGGTACATATATGCGAGCTGCTTACATTAAAGATGATGTGGTTCAACAAATGTTATTCATTTATAGAGGGGGACACGACGAATGGGGCACAAAAATAGCTCGGCCTTCCTTCGAACAGTTGCTCCAAACACCTCTGTCATGTCTATTTTCCTTGGGTCAACTCTGGGAGGCAGCTCCCAGTCAAAATGGTAAAGAAGGCTAGCCAACGCAATCTCAATGTCCGCATACGCAAAGTTGATCCCAGGGCAAATCCTCCGCCCAACACCGAAAGGAGTGAACTCGAAGTCCGCACCTCTAAAGTCAGCAACACCCACGCCTTCGAACCTCTCTGGCATGAACTTCTGTGGCTCATCCCAATACTTTGGGTCCCTAGAGATTGCCCATATGTTGGTTAGCAGAATCGCTCCTTGTGGTACATCGTATCCTTGAATCTTATAGTCTTGCATGCACAATCTAGGAAAGAACGGAGCAGGAGGATGCAGTCGCAAGGTCTCTTTAATAATTGCCCTCAGGTATTGCATGCCTTTTAGGGAAGCCTCTTGTACCGCGGCCTGTCCGGCGAGGACACAGTCTATCTCAGATTGCACCCTCTGCATCACGCTTGGGTTCGCCATCAGTTCAACCATCGCCCATTGCAAAGTAGTAATTGAGGTGTCAAGTGCTGCACCGAAGACATCCTGCGAAAATGATAGTCACACAAGTTGCATAAGGTTTAGTCATAATCAGCTTTATTAGTCCCATTTCCCCTTTTCCTTTAGTAGATACTAAGTGCCGTTTGACTATTCAAATTCATGCTTTAACTGTAAATCTCACGTACAATATTTAGTCAACGGTTAAAAAGTAAAATATTATTGTACTAAGAATTGATGAAAGAAAGAGATTCAAACTACGCCTAATATTTTGGAGCGAAGGCAGTTTTGTTATTAGGGTTCCGCTTCGGTATATCCCCTTAAAAAAATTAAAAAATAAAAGGGTAACTTCGTGTTTTTTGAAGCTCGTCTCTCCGCGGAAAAAATAAATTATACTGCTCGCTCCTCTTCCCTATCCGTACTGCTCATCATGAACACAACCAGCATAGTCCAAGCTTTGCTCTGCTCAGGGTCGATCTGTCCGTGCTTAGAAAAACACCGGCTCGAATCCATCAACGTGAGGTGCTTGAACCAAAGGCACCGGCCAACGGCGGATCGATCAGGGATCGTGTACGGGGAGTCGGGGAGAATATCTGCTGCTCCGGAGCACCTAAGCTCTTCATCCAGTGGTCACCTGACGTGCATGTTGCCGCTGTCCAAAACATCCGCTAGCAGTAATCCACGAGCAAAAGTTAGCGTTGATTGGTTGTCCTTGTCGTCGGGCGTACTTGATCGCGCGGGGCAAAAATCTGCTGGGGAGAATGAAATGCGAGTACCAAATCTGATTAATGAATGGAAAACGTTTAAAACCGGTCGACTGGAAAAGACTCCGCCGGTCACGTACATGCTGGCAACAGGCCCACGCACCGTGGCTTAAAGGCCTGTTTGATTCATAAGTGATTTTTTCTTCTTAGAGGTTATTAAATGATCATGTTACCTTTAGTATACAGAAAAATAACAACCAAACAACACCATGGGACGGCGGCCAATGGGTGCATGAAGGAGCATTGTTGGAAAAGTCTCAAAAAGTCACAAAAAAGACTCTGCTTGAGAGTCTTCTTCATTTAGTTCTACAAAGCAACTTTTAGTCCTTATTAGTAGTTCCTCATGTTTGGTTAAAAAGTCTCTAAGAAAGACTTTTTCTAGTCCCTACACCAAAAAGTCCCTAGAAACAAACACCCATAAGTCTCTCTTATCCTGTCACACGAAGCGCTCCTAGCCATTCATTCTACCCCTAAGTCTTTTCTTCTCCCCTCACGCATCTTCTTCCCCTGCGGCGGCTTCCTAAATAAATTTTTTTTACCAACGATGACCGTCGTCAATCCCGCACCAACCTACCCGTCCTCCACCCCGCGTCAACCTCCCCTGCAAATGGGCGATACTTCAGGAGGCACCAACCACCGCGTGCGGCAAGGGGGGAGGTCATGGCTTGTCGTGTCGATAAGGTGCGGTGCTGGGGACCGGCCGGGGGATTCGCTTCAACTGGTGAGGATGGTGGTGGGCAACGACGACGATGGCCGCCATTATTTTTTGCCACATCAATATTTTTTCCGTCGAATCACTTCTATTTTTTTCTGGAATCTTCTTTGATTTTGCTACAAATTGAGAGGATGGTGGTGCCGTTGCTGCCATGCATGATTTTTTGTTACATCAAATTTTTGCTGGTACCACTTTTTTTTTGCTGGAACCAACATTTGACTTTGCTGCAGTAGGCGAGGATGGTAGTGGGTGGCGACAGAGGTCCCCACCATGACTTTTTTGCTGCATTTTTCTTGCTAGAACATTTTTTCGATTTTTCTGCATATTGAGAGGATGATGATGCCGCCACCGCCATAATTTTTTAATATATTTTTTTCTGCTGGAACCTCTTTTGATTTTTTTCTGCAGTAGGCGACGATGGCATTAGGTGCGGCGACGAATGGGCGCTATGTTTTTGTTGCATTGATTTTTAGCTGGAACCAGCAATTGTTTTTGCTACAACCAGCCGAAGCAGAGCTGGAACCGATATTGAGGCGCTGTGCCCGGGCACGACGGTGTCGATGGCGAGAAGGTGTCCACAGGAGCTACAAGCAAGCAGGGGCGATGTAGTCGCAGCCGGATGCGAAGGCAGAGGCGGGAGGACGCATGGGGAGACAGATGCGGAAGGACGCACGGGGAGGCGGTCCCGCCCGCTGGAGTGGGGGAGGGGGGGGGGAGGGCGACGAAACGGCGACGCCAGATTTAACGGCTGTAATCGCTCAAGTAGGAGTGTGCGGTGACTGCCCCAAATTCCTACTATTCGCCTTAATGAATTCATTAGAATTTTAACTAAACCATGATACTCTATCATGCGAATGGGGTATCTTTTAATCTCCATCACTGATTAATACCAAATAGTGTAGCACTATTTGCTTAATTAACATATACACTTGTTGACCCGCAAAAAAACAAAAAAATAGTGACTTTGTGGAAGAAGCAACATGTTTTAAAGTGCTAGACAATTACTTCCTCCATTCAACCAAAACGTTGAGGTGTATTAATTTTTTTTGAAGTCAAATGCGCTCATGTCTGGCTAATTTTTAGAAAACAAATATCAGTATGTACAATACTAAATTTGTATGATCACTAGATTCATCATGGAAAGTGTTTTCATATTTTTTATATTGTAGATATTGATATTTATATTATAATCTTGGTCAAACATATATGCTACAATTTAACTTTTATGAAAATAGATGCACCTTATATTAGAGAGTAATTGAAAGGTTGGAGTTTCAAGACCGAGAGAGCTTACTATGAGCAGTGCCCTTATGACTCCGTCGGTTAGGGAAACTCGCATATTGCCTTCTTTCTGGATCCTCAGCAACACGTCGACCATGTCCTGTTCGTCGTCTCCATCTCTGGCTGCCCTTCTCTCCTCGTGACTCCTAAGTATGTTGTCCATGAGCCGGAACATCTCTTGACGGTGCCGCTCCGCCTTGCCACCATTGCGCGGCAGCAGCCGAACTAGCCGCGACGAAGGGAAGAGGTCCCGGAGGTCGAACAGCGACGACAGGTCCACTCCTTGCTTAACGTTCTTCATGAACGCGACTCTGTCCGGCAGCTTGTCACCGAAGATGGCGCGCACAGCCGAGTCTGTCATGAACTCGTCGAGCCGCTCGTCGATGTTCACTAGCCGGCCATCGGACATCGCCTGAAGCGACGAGACGAGGCGAGCCGCCTCCTCCTCGCGGATCCGCCGGAACGCCTCGACGCGCCGCGCGCTGAGCAGCTCCGTCATGAGGATCCGGCGAAGCAAGCGCCAGTGGTCGCCGTATGGCGCGAAGATAATCCCCTGGCCATGCCTTGAGAGCTCGTCGATGCCCGGGCTGCTGAGCCGCTCCGAGAAGTTGGCCTCGTTGCCCTTGTATATCTCCCTCACGGCCTCGGCGGAGGAGACGACGATGGCCACGCGCTCGCACACCCGGAGCTGCATGAGCGGGCCATGCCGGAGGGAGAGATCGCGGATGGTGCGGTGTGGGAGCCCGCGCAACAGGTGGTGCAGGCTGCCGATGATCGGAAGCTGCCACGGACCGGGTGGCAGCCTCGGCCGGGGCTGCTTGGCGGCGGCAGAAAGAGCGCGTAGGACGGCGTGGTAGAGGAGAGCCCAGAAGAGGCATAGGACGAAGTGGTAGTATGGCATCGTGAACTGCTCCACGTGAGGAAGGGCGAGAGTCGCACGCATGTACTGCATACTATTAGACGGAACAAGGGCTCTATATAAGATCCTCGCACCATCACGCTTGTTTTAGTTGTGCCAATTAATATTCAAAGTTTGGAAATGATGTTCTCGATCGAGCTCAGCTCTCAGCTTTCTTTGTGACTTAATTACTTCCTACCATCTGCACAACCACTAACCGCTCCTAGCTTGACGTTGAGGGAGAGTGACTAATCAAGCGTGATAACCAAAGCTGAAGGGGTGTAAAGTTTCTGTTTACTCTTCATCTCTCACTAGTCACTAGCTACACAGATTTTTTTGTTGGGACAATAAATTACTCTAGTTGTTAGGTTTAGGTTAACCGGTCACTGAAACCATTTCGATTGGGATGATTTTGGGTAGAATCATAATTCTGACGTACTGCCTAGATCACAATGTATTATACTCCCTCCGTTTCATAATGTAGTGCCTATAGATTTTTGCAAAAGTCAAACATTACAAACTTTAACCATATTTATTGAGAAAAGTAGGTACATCTAGAATACCAAATGCACATCATTAAATACATCATGAGTTATATTTTTAGAATATAAATATTTGGTATTGTATATGTAGACAGTTTTCTTTATACATTTAGTTAAAGTTGACAAAGTTTGACTTTCATGAAAATTCATAGACACTACATTGTGGAATGAAGGGAGTATATACTAGCAAAATCCCCTATGGTGATACGCTTTGCGTCCGTGGGGCACATGATGCATCGACACGTAATACTAACGAGTTATGGTGAAAGGAGGATGGAATTAGAAAATACCATCTGGTGAGCTAGGATAAACCCCTGTGTTATATTTCCGAGATTGCCTTTTCTTACTTTTAGTGCTAATGCATCTGTAGCTACTGTGATAGAAAACAATATACTTCACTAAGCTGTCTAGGATTGGAGGCCTCACAATCAATTGAGGTCTCTAATTAGGATTTGGTCATTCAATTTTGACCGAGTCAACAATTTTTCAAAACTCTTTCATATTTTTACAATATACTACGCTTTCTAATTTTTAAATCTTCACAATTAATTGAGGCGATTATTTACATTTGGGTCACCCAATTTTGACTGGGTCAACAATTTCTCATGGAGCTTTCTCATTTAATTATTTTAATTCTCTATGTTCCCTAATTTTAAAACTCTTTCATTCGATTGAGGTATTTAATTTTGGATTTGATTTACGATTTTGATTGGGCTAACGATTTTTCAAAGTAATCAGCAGCAACCGTCCTATAAAAGCATATCAACCCCTCGCAGACTCCCATCACCTAGAAAAAACCGCCACCATGTGATACTATAGCACGAATATAGTACATGCTACCACTGATGAAAAATATTCCCACATAAATATGGGTTGATTAGCGGATAGCACATAATCACACTGTGGAAGGCCCACCAAATAACCATATTATAAATAAACATAAAACACACTCCGTCGTCTCCCCCACCAACCAAACTAAATAGTCCATCAATTTCAAAATATAAGGGTTACTGATTTTTTGGAAAGTCAAATTTCTTTAACTTTGACCAAGTTCAGAGCCAAAAAATTGACATACACAGTATTAAACAAAAAAAATGAAAATTCATTAATAATGAAGCTAATATCACCGATTTGATATTATGAATTTTGATACATTTCTCTATAAATTTGATAAAACTTAAAAATGTTAGACTTTTTTAAAAAAGTAATACACCACATATTTTGAAATAGAGTGAATAAAGAAATTTAAGAATCCCAACAAATTCAATAGTGCGGCAAAGCACACCCAACCCTTCTAGTATATATGTATGGGTAGTAGGGAAATGTACTACTTGTCGTAGAGATATGCATAGTATAGACAAGTTTCTTTTTCCAAGAAATCGACAGGAGAGGAAGAGAGTTTTTCAGATTATTAGCGAAAACCGGACAAGAACAACATACAAAGGGTAGAAAGTCCCCCAGCAGCTGCTGGAGCGAGGGAACCAAGACACATGCAACCCCAAGCTCATCGTCACACCTAATGAACCAAAAGGCACTAGTAGAAAAACGACCTTACATTCGCCTCATTAGTCCTTGTTCGATTACGGCCCGGTAATAATATGATCATTAGTCCCTGTTCCAATGGCTAGGGCACAGGCGTTATTAGTCCCGGTTTGTGGCGCACCTTTAGTCCCGGTTTGTGCCACAAACTAGGACTAAAGGGGTGGTGGCAGGCTGACCCGCGCGAGCCTCTTTAGTCCCCGTTTGTATCACAAACCGGGACTAGAGGTACACCTTTAGTCCCGGTCTGTATAACCAACTAGGACTAAAGATGCCCCTATATAAACCCTTCGTCCAGCCCGAGCCCATTTCCCCTTTTCCTCTCCTCTTTGTTCTTCCCCTCTTGCTCGAGCTTATACTCCATTTTTACCAAAAAATTTCAAGATTTGAAGGCACCCCATCCATCCAAGTGTTTACAAAGGTTAGCAACTTTGTCCTTTTATTTCTCATTGCTAGATTAGTTCTTGCAATGCTCTATAAGTATAGTGATATAAGTATAGTGATTTGTGGGTTTTGGTTTGGGAGTAATTATATGTGGGAGTTTATTTGATTTATATGCAATTTGAGCTCAATTTAACTTCTTAGTTTGCATATGCAGGTGTGGTTTACTTAGTGTCTTCCCGTCCCCGTCCTAACCACCGTCGATCGCCCGCACCGTCCCGTCGCCGACGTCACCTTGGTGAACCTCTTGTTCTTATCCTTTTTATAAAAAAAACATGTTTGCGTGATTTAGATAGTTACTTGTATAATTTTGTTACTCGTACATTGTTTGTTATACATAGTGGCATGGTTTTGATATCCGTCCCCGTCGGCCCTCGTCCGGTTTATGATTCAGATGTGGTATATTCTCTTTTATAACTATTTATTGCATTTTGTGCTTATGAAAATTATGCCCATCAAGTTGACATAGATATTTTTTTTATCTAGGAGGTACGTGAATCGGAAATTGCAACTGACCCTCTTGTCGAGAAGTTAAATTTAGTTGAAAAAGAAAATAAGTATTTGAAAGAAAAATTGAAAAGAATTGAAGAAAGGAAGATGAAACTGGAGTTGTATGTTGCCGATGTCGTCGATGATCACAAGATCAAGATGGATGCAATGCGCTTGAAGATTAGAAAGGTTAGAAAATATGCCATTAATAAACAGGCTTGGTATCACTATGCCATTGGATCAATTGTTACCTTAGTTGCAATCTTGATCACATTTGTTGTTGCATTTAAATGCTTTAGTTAGAGAGTTTGTATGTTGTTTTATGAGAATAAGTGTCTGTGAACTTTATGTATGAACTTGTATTAATTTGGTCTTTTTGGTGTTGTGTAGTGAAGATGAGCCGGCAATTGATGTAGGATGACCGATGCTCTACCCAGTTCATTAATAGCGTGCATACTTTTCTGGTTGCGGCTGAGGCAAACAAGCGGGCGGATGGTTTTACGTGATGTCTATGTGTTGTCTGTAAGAATGATCACAATCACTCTAACTCAAGAACCATTCACATACACCTATTTACGTCCGGTTTCATGTCCGGCTATAACTGTTGGACCAAGCACGGAGAAAGAGGGGTTCTAATGAAAGAGAATGAATAAGAAGAGGATGATGACAGCTATCCTCACCATGGATTCCCTGAATACGATGGTACAACAGTGGCGGAGGCGAGGTATAATAGAGGAGGCAGCCCAGTGTCGCAACTCATGCCTTCTCGGCCTTTGGACTAAGTTCAAATGTAATATATGTTTTTACTAGTTTAATATATGGTACATGGGTTATGTGCCCACAATTACATGAAATTTATTTTTTGTGGGAGGGTTCATCGGATTGGCTTGCCATTTGGTCTCTCACGTGTCACCCAGATGTTGCACTACTGTCCGGCTTGGCACATCCCAACCAATACACAGTGTTAACTTTCTTTATCTCTTAATTATATTTTTGCATGTTAATTCTTAGAGAAAACTAGACAAGAATGGGATACAAAGGGTAGAAAGTCCCCCACCGGCTGCTGGAGCGAGGCAACCAAGACACATGCAACCCCAAACTTGCCGTCGCACCAAATGAATCCAAAGGGGTACGACACCACCACACTGCAGAACCCCACTGTTGGTGAATGAAGGAGAGAGAAACCAGACCACTATGGGCGAGTAGGTCAAGGCCACCCCAACATTGAAGGTGAAGATAGCGTGCCACAAGAACACCGTGTCGTTCAAACCACCCAACACCAAGGCGGCCGACACAACACGGGGCCGCCACCCCGATATCAGCCAAGCTGGTGTGCCATGCACAACCAACCGTCACCACCTTCCGGGGCCATCGCCTCGACATTCACCGCTCGCAAGCAAGCCAGAGTGCCGCATGATCGACCTAGGCAATCATAGCCCCAACTGCTCAGAAATTTGTTAGAGAAAGAAATTTGCTAGTTGTGAGTGTGTGATTGTAGTTTTTTGGAGTTCCTGCAAAGTTGGAAGTGCAACTGCATTCTATCATGTGTATCCCAAGATGGCAACGGAGACGAATTCCGTCGGGTTTTGCTTGCCCATCCCCATCCCCGTGAGAGAAACCCAAGCCCGTCCCCGTCCGTGAAACCACGTGCGAGGATAGGTTTTTGCCCATCTCTGTCCTCATTGGATTTTTCAAACCCATGGGGAACCATCTTCTTGAGCGGTCATAAAAAACAATTGCCACATTTGAAAGGCGGTACCAGGAGGTAAGCAGACAGGTGCGTGAGTTTGAGATTTTTGGGGTGCACAGAAGCGGGATAATGGGCTTTTGGCCAACCCTGGTCTATTCTAGGGACCACATGTCATATGTTTCACGGGTTTGGCAGGTTTCAGGTGTGGGTAGTGTTGGAACTGGTTTGCACCTGCGAAACCTGGCGGGTTTTAAATGTTACCCATGAGCATCCCTGAGGCGATCGAAACATGCCCATCCCCGCCCCCTAATATGGTAAAATCCCGCAGGGACACGGTTTCGAGGCCTCATTGC